CAGCAAAGCTGAAGAGTTGAACAGGGAATTCTGGGAGTTGGAAGTCCACAAGTCTTAAAGTTGCCAAGTTTGGGGAGCCCTGATCCAGAGGATGTGAGAGAAATTGTACACAGGCTCCACCAGGATCCGTTCCCTCTCAACAAATGGGCCTGGCCCAGGGGTGGGATTCAAATTTTTTAACAACTGGTTCTGTGGTCGTGGCTTAGTTGGTGGGCGTGGCTTGGTGGTCATATGACTGGGTGGACGTGGCTTGGTGGTCATGCTATTGGTTGGGCGTGGCCAATTCAATATAATTGAGGCATGCATCTCCTCGCCTGGCCTCTCATGACTGTGGGGATGCTGCAACAGTCGTAAGTGTGAAAAATGGTCATACATCACTTTTTTCAGTGCTGCTGTAACTTTGAATGGTCCCTCCACACAAGCAAATACCAGCAAAGAAGGGGAAAAAACCTCCAGAGACGTTTCTGAGACAGGAAGTCTAGTCCTGCCAAGAATGTAATAAGGGTTAACGGAGAGGCAGTTTCTGTAAGCAACCCCAGAATGTTTCCTTCCTGCCTTCCTTACAGGATTAGCCCAGTAATTTCTTCTAACAACCGTTTCTCCAAATTGTTTAGAATGTTAACAACCGGTTCCAGAGAATAGGTGCGAACTGGTAGAATCCCAACCCTGGCCTGGCCTTAAGAACAGCATTTTGGTGAGTGGATAGTATCTATCATATGCACCCCAAATACAGTTTAGCCCTTGACTTAAACCTTGGCTGGAGCCCATTGGTAGTTCAACAGCTCAACATGTGACTGTGACAGATTTTATAACTTTTTTTGGGGGGGGGACAACAGTTGTTAAGTCCACCCATTGTATCCAATGAACTTTTTTATTTTTTTATTTTGCTAAAAACTGGAAGTAAACTCTGGTTTCTATAAAACACATCATAAATCATAGTCACGGGACCACAAGAGGCTGCAAATAGTCATAAATGTGAGCCTGTTGCTGAGCACTCAAAATGCAGTCATGTGACTGTGGGGGTGGGGAAATAAGGGGCAGCCTTTGGAACTTCAAAACGGGCTTGTGAGTAGTTCCGGGGAGGTAACTTCAAATGGTCATTAAGTGATCAGTCATTAAGTCAAGGACAACCTGTACTGGAATCAGAGCAGGGAGCGTTATCTTTATCCAAATCAGAAATGAAATAAGTGTAATGGGTGGAAAAGTACTAGAAAATGTTTTATGGTTGCAAAATAAAAATTGAGGTTCTGGGAAATGGATCCAAGCCAAATGCATCAGGCCTGAACAGAATAGAACCACTTACCAACTTTGGAAAAGGCCTCCCTGAGTTCTTCTAGCTCGTCTTTGGATATCTGTGTGGTGTTGGCCATTTTTGTGCATTAACACAACACCTAAAAAAGGAGGGAGAAGAGAGAAAGGGGGGGGATCAATAAATTAGGAACACAAATCCATATCCAATAAGATTCATTCATCCAAGAAAGCATTATCGGACTCCTGGTTTTTTTGCTACAGTAAATCCTGAAATTCACCGGTGCTTTTTCTGGGGTCTGCTGACCACGGGGAAACCCCGTTTTTAACACCTGCAACTGCTCGGACACTGAGGATCATCCAGGCCTCAAGTAAATACACAAACCCTGCAAATCGGGTTCCCAAGGCCCTAGCAAACACTCGGGCGGTGCTGCTGTGTGCGGGTTTATTCTCCCCTTTCTCTCTACCTGGCCATAAAGAGGCCGGAGCTCTTGAGCAACCCACCTGCGGGGAGGCTGGATTGAGAACCGAAACTGTGCCAAGGCCAGGCTGGGGTTTCAGGGCTTGACCCTTCCCTCCTCCCTTGGGAGCAGTAACTAACTATCCAGGATTCAAGCTAGCCACCCCCTTGGCAAGGAACCAACTCCTCCCAGGTCCAGGCCCAGCCCACCTGGCTAAGCCACCTGGAGAAAACTCACACCCAGCGAGGTGAAAAGTAAGCCCAGGGGGTGTCCGTGGCGCTTTCTGGCCAGGGAAGAGGTATTCAGCCACAGAGTGGTCAATGTCTGGAATCCTCTACCTGACTCTGTGGTTTCTTGCCCAAACCCCAAAAACTGTAACCTCAGACTGTCTACTGTTGACCTCACCCCTTTCCTAAGAGGTCTGTAGGGGGCGGGCATCAGCGCACCAACGTGCCTACCGCCCCTGTCCTATTGTTCCTTTTATTTTTCTTATCTGTACTCATTTCATGTATTCATAATTATGTTTATTCTTATACCTATTATCTTGTAAGCAATTGACAAATCAAATCAAATAAATAAAAATAAAAATAAATAAATAAACACTGCCTTGAGCAATAAGCCCCATCCCACGGCGGAAGCTGCTGCCTGCCAGCAGGTTGGGTTGGGGGAAGCCCCCCAGGGGACACACCCCCATTTGCAGCGCAGGTCCCACCAACTCACACACGTTTTTCCCAGCTGCAAGCCATGCAGCGCAATGAAGCCGTTTGCAGCCCAGAGAATCATTGGCTCCGCCCGTCAGCTGGGTCTCCTTGTTGTGGGTGGGGGGGGGGGGGGAGAAACTACCTGACATTCGCTCCCTTCCTTGAGCAGACAGGCTGATTCACCTCTGATCTGGAGCAATTCTGTTTTTTCTATGGGGAATGTTCCTGTCCTTAGACCCATTTCCCTCTAGGTAAACAAGCGGGGTGTGTGTGTGTGTGTGTGTGTGAACCATCTCCTACTTTCTTGCAGCAGCAGCAGCCTGCAGCCCGAAGGGATGAGCTGTTTCCTTGTTTGCTGAATTCTCCCCGCGTCCCTATTTTATAGCCCAGGCGCTACACTCTTGCGCTACACTCCACGCATCCCATTTTAAACGGCACTGGCCATCAGGTTGGCCCCAGTCTCAAATTTGGGGAAGCGGAATAGGACTTGCCACTTGCAGGCCGTCAATCTCACCTCTCTTTTGCTGACGAGAAGGTTGTGTCTTTAAGCCTTCTTCGTTCCCTAATTAGTTCAGTGTTGCTTTTACTAGCAGGAGTAAACCCCGAGGTCAGGGAACGCCCAGGCGGGAGGACGATCTGGAGGAAGTCGCCAGCCTCAATGACATCAGCCTGACTCAGGCTGGGCCCACCAAGAGCCACACCAGAAACTGCAGGAGAGCCAAGACCAGGTCAACAGGCCGAGATCCATTTCCGCCTCCTGAAGGGCTCCACTCTTCCCCTTCGGGCTTTGGGGTTTGGTCCTCCAGGTAGCAGCCCTGCCGGGAGAGGGCAGAAACGGCCGTTCCTAGCCTCTTCTCTGCTTTGGGGACTTTCCCAGACTTGGGGTGTCTGGGGGAAGCTGTGATCTTTTATTGTAGGCCACAGAGCGGCACAGTTAACCTTTGTGGGCTCCTGAGGAAGGTCAGCTTAAAGGGCCTTGAAAGGTCTCTTGGGAAGAAGGTTCCATGCTGGAAAGGAGCTGGCTTGCCTCGGACTTTCCCAGAAATCGAAGGAAAAGTGAACAGTGGAAGGGAAAGGGAGGATCTTGTCCGTGCATTACTGGCTGGGGAATTCTGGGAGTTGAAATCCACCCATCTTCAAGTGTTGGGAAACAATCAATCAATCAGAATAGAACTGGAAGGGACCTTGCAGGTCATCTAGTCCAGCCCAAGCAGGGGACCCTACACCCTTTCTAACAGATGGGAGCCTCCAGGGATGAAGCTCCCACAACTTCCAAAGGCAACTTCTGTTCCATCGGTTGATGGCTCTCACGGTCAAGAAACTTCTCCTTAATTCCAGGCTGAATCTCTCCTTGTCTAGTTTCCATCTGCACCCTTCCTCCTGGTGCTTTGACGATGACCCCCCCCCCTCCCTTCTTTGATCCAATCCAACAATCATACCTTGATCTAGTCCAACTCCCTGTTCAGGGAAGGAATCAATCACTGCAGCCACCCCTATCCAAGCCTTGGTTCCCAGGCTGATAAAGATCTAAGCTCCAGTTATGGCAGCCAATTGCAAATCAATTGTCTGCACCATGAGCAAAGGGAGACGCCCCCCCCCCCCCCCGCCCGGGGCGCAACAAGACTGTGAGAAAAAGACTCCACCTGAACATGCGCAAGATGTATCATCTACCGGTGCGCCGTTGAATGGGATCTTTGTGCACAACGCCCATCTTTTCCATACATCTTGCTCAAGAAAACACTAGGATTTTATTTTTCTCCAGGTGCATCTTTTCCCAATGACTTCTCACAGACCGGAATACACACAGCGCAGGGATGAAATATTTTGAACTAGCTGCAGTGGTGAGACTTTGCTCTAAATCAGGGGGTCTCCAAACTTGGCAACTTTAAGACTTGTGGACTTTAATTCCCAGAAGAGAATTCTGGGAGTTGGAGTCCAGAAGTCTTCAAGTTGCCAAGTTTGGAGACCGCTGCTCTACAGGAAGCTAATCAGCGTTTTCCCATGCTTTTTGGTCATGGGGAGCACCAGTCCTTTCCTGTTTTAAATGTGCAGCAAGCAAAATGGACACAGAGAGGGTCAAAGACACAGATACACGTGTGGCCGAGCATAAAAGTCCTCTAGAAATGATGCGCCTTCGCCTCGGTTAATGCTCTTAAGTTCTCCTTGGAAATTTGAGAAAAACGGGAGGAGAGAAATGCATTAGCGCTTTCTAAGGTCAGCTCCAATGAGGGAGGGGTGAACCCAGCCCCCTCCCCAATTCCAGGCTGGGAAGGAAACACCTGCTGCTCTTATCACACCAGGCAGGGTGGTCTTTGTGGTTGGGGGGAGGGTCCCACTGCCAACATACTTTACAACAAAGCTCTTAGCACCTTGCAACAAAACGTAGATTTACTTTGGCATGGAAGGTCCTTTGCTAGCATGACAGGCAGCTCTTCTAAAAAAATAGTTTTGCAAAGGCATCTAAGAAAGAAGTTATCTGTTTATTTTATGGGAATCTATACATCCTGCAGCCCCCCCTCCTCCTCCCACCCCCCCACCCCCGCAAGGGAAAAGTTAGCTCCTCTTCTGTTAACTGATCATAAGCAAGTCCTACAACCAAATCATTTGGGGGGGGGGTTAATCGCTTCTGTTTTCCAACTCTTCAGCTGCTGCTCAGGTAAGGCAACTCGGGCAGGGCACCCATATTGCAGAATTCCTAGGAGCCTGCACTCCCTGAAGGGCCTTCGCCCCAGGAAACCATTTTTTAACCTCCCTCCGTGGAGAAGCAGCCACTGTCCCTTAGGCCTCCCTTCTTTGGGGTTTTTCCAGGGACATATTTCATGTATTTATTTTTGACTCCTCCAAAGGAGAAAAATGCTCTTGGAAAACACCCCCCCACACCCAGCAAATTCAGCTGCTCAGAAGTCAGGATAGAAGCAGCCACTCCAGTCATGAGATGCCCGAATATTGCTGATCACAACAGCACATTCCAAAGGGAAGGAGGGAGGGAGAGAAGAAGGAAGGAAGGAAGGAAGGAAGGAAGGAAGGAAGGA